ACACAGTCACTTCTCAGACCTGCATGGTTAGCACCAGGGGGTTCCTTAGTCTTTCACAGTTAATCTCTTGCAAAGCTACAGCGAATTATGTTATGTCACATAAGTGGTTCCTCAATCTGGTTACTGAAACACATCTTTGATGTGATGCAATTGCATATATCATAGAAACTTTTTATCATCAAAAATGTTTGATCAGTGGATATAATGGCCTCTGAAGGAAAAGCTATACTGATCGATCTGGCCAAACAACCTGAGTATTGTGGAACAATCATTTACCCCTGAAAAGTAAACTAGAACACTAATCTCAGAGACACCATGGGATTGGATGATTCCAAAATATGGAGAAGCTATGATTTATAGTTGTGTGTTCATCATCAAGGTTATGTTGTCACCTTTCAACAGAATTCTCCCTATAAAGAAGCATAGGTCTGATGGACAAATAAAAAGGAACAGAGAACACACAGAGCAACAAATCAAAAGTATCAAATAACATGACTAACCCAATGGTTCTCTGGCTTTTCTTTGTTTTCTGTTGACATTGAGTTCTTCAGCTTCATCCTAGACCAAGTTCATGTATTCATCAAAACCCTGCACAACAGTCGTGAGAAATAATACATTATAATATATTTATAATGCGTTACATTATAAATATATTTTCCTATATTGCAGAGTGCAGAAAATAGCCTCTTATCCCAATAAACTTTTTTCATTAGGATTATGATTTGCATTATTCACTATGTGGAATGATCTGTTGACTGCTAAAGCAGATTAACACAGCATGCCAAACATGCACATATATGTGCATCAATGTAATCAGAGAAAACCAGTGGACCCAAAACAACAACCAACAAGCATTAATTTATACTTCAATATCAAACATTAAAGTGCAGAAAGGATACATTAGCCAGACATCAACGTACTTAGGAGTAGTTTGCCTGACAAAAGAGCATGACAATTGAATGGGGGGAGATAAACAATGTCCCAGGTTTCTCTTGTGATATGTGTGCTGATAAAAAAAATCTAAGATGGTACAAAGATTATTTAGTTGGGACTGTCTAAAACCCATTACCAGGAGGATATTACTCCAAGATAAAGCTCAACATTCACACTACAAATGAAGTTGCATTTAGCAACACTCAGAAAGCTTCTATGCTTCAGCTATAAGAAGTTCTCAGTCTCTACATAATCGAAGAATAGAATACTCCTTCCAAAATTCCTTAATAAATTATATATTTATGCATTCAAACTTAAATGAAGAACAACAAACTCCTCTTAGATTCCTTAATACATCAATATGCATAGCTTACAATACAAAAGTAAGAAGAAAAAAGAAATACTTCGTTTTAGCAACTCGTGCCAGTGCAAAAGGGCAATGCTACAAGTTCACAGAGGTAAGCCTAAATCAGAAGCAAGAACTGACAACCTTAATCCCCAACGTCAAAGAATGGGGCAAAAGAAAGGCGAACTACTTACAATGATGCGCCCCTCAATCCTCAAATCCTTCTGCTCGTAAAGCCACATTTAGATGCGAACTTTCTGAAGCATCCACCAAAAACACCAACGAAATAAGCAATTCCAACATACGAAAACCACAGGGAAACGAAATAAAAGGAAAGAAATCAGAGATACGCATCAGAACTTACGCTTTGGAGGAGCCTGAAAATTAGATTCTGCAACAAGATCACCAACACCCGCCCGTATCAAATCAAAAGCACCACAGAAGGAACCAATAAGAAGACTGGAAATTAAGGTTTCCAAGAGAAAAAGCGAGCGAGCGAGTACGATGGGCTGTGTCATGATCCGCTGGACTTTTGGTGGTCGCCATCGTTGATTCTCCGTTTGTTAGTAAATAAAAATATCGTGGTCGATGGGTCCACATGGTTAGGTCCGCGGGTCGATGTCGGGAGTTTCTTACGGGGTGAGTAATATGATGAGGCGGTCGTGCCATGTTGGTCGGCGTTGGTCGGGATCCGGGTCGGCTCACTACTCTCCTTTGTGCGATGGAAGGTATCTCTTGGGTTGGGACGCTCGTCGCTAGGAGGTGGTCGTTTCGGAGCGACTCGGGTAAGAGTCAGGCTGGCAGAGTCGACTGGGCCCTCGTGGGAGGATGTTGATCAGCGTTTCTCAGTTTATCAACCCGGGTGCCTTTTGTGGTGAGATACGTCTCTCCGACTCCGGGATGAATGGCAACGCGTCCTCGTGTACTGGATGGCAATTCCCGGGTTGAGGCGTTCACCGTTCGGGGGTGTTTGCCTTCCTCGGGTGCTTCCCGATTTTGGCCCCTCCGACAAGCAAATCAGTGGAGTATTTGATATCGAGTTTTTTCTCCCCCTTGGCGGCCAAGGGTTTGTATACTATTGTGCGAGGTTTGGTTGTGCCTCAGTTCGGTGTGGCCACTAACCCTTGTGGGATGGGATAGCTTTTCTGACGAGCTGGCATCTTAGGGAGTGCTTGAGCGGCGTCAGACGGCATCGCCCCGAGCCCTCGGGACAATCGTGTCGCATAGTGTCTCGATACGGAACCTGGCTTGACATGCGTCACGAGGTTCTGATGGCGTGCGGCGTCGGATTCTGATATTGGTGGGGATGTGGTGTGTGACATCGGTGATGACTCATCTGGAGACCAAAATATGCCCCCCCCCCCCTAGTTGTCCGTGAAGGGAAGTCGGATTGACTCATTGGGGGGCGATTTTAGAGGGGCGACACCCCGTGATTTAGATAGGACTAATCCTGCTGATCGAATGATGGGGGCCTGATGAGGTGATACCTAAACGTCAAAATCGGCCAGACAAGACCTGCGGAGCGAACCCGACGTGTCTCGGTTCAGATGACGGGTTTCACATGGCTCGGAGCTATGGCTGCCGAGTTTGCAAGTCAGCAAGTGAATCGAGGCGGCTCGATTTAAAGATTTGTCTGGCGACGAATCAGAGTTGACGTGAAGCGAATCGGAGTCGACGTGAAGCGACTTGGATAACGGGCTAGGCCGGTGATTCGGGCGCTTGATTGACCGAGATGTGACTCGGGCATAAGATTGGCCGCGAGGTGTAGCTCGGGCTTGTGGGCCAAGTGACCGAATCCGGTTATGGTTTCGGTGCCGACGGGTCACAAGTTGGGAGCGATCGGGAGTGACCCGGGCAGGAAACGAACCTGGGGACCGAGTGACATCGCTCGGCTCCGAATTGAACCTGGGGATCGAGTGAGTGAGCTCGGCTCCAGTTTGAACCTAGGGGCCACGTTAGTGAGCTCGGCTCCGAATCGAACCTGGGGACCGAGTGAGTGAGCTCAGCTCCGGATTGAACCTAAGGACCGAGTGAGTAAACTTGGCTCCGAATTGAATCTGGGGACTAAGTGAGTGAGCTCAACTCCGAATCGAACCTGGGGACCGAGTGAGTGAGCTCGGCTCCGGATTGAACCTAAGGACCGAGTGAGTAAGCTTAGCTCCGAATTGAATCTGGGGACCGAGTGACTAAGCTCGGTTGCGAATCGAACCTGGGGACCAAGTGAGTGAGTTCGGCTCCGAATCGAACCTGGGGACCAAGTGAGTGAGTTCGGCTCCGAATCGAACCTGGGGGCCGAGTGATTGAGCTCGGCTCCGAATCGAACCCAGGGACCAAGTGAGTAAGCTTGGCTGCAAATCGAACTT